ACAGACAGAGTCAGAGAGACAGACAGACAGTCAGGCAGAAAGTCAGAGAGACAGATGGACGGACAGAAAGTCAGACAAAAAATCAGAGCGATGGACAGAAAGTCAGACAGAGTCAGAGAGACAGACAGACAGTCAGGCAGAAAGTCAGAGAGACAGATGGACGGACAGAGATTGTAATCATTGGGTCGTTTATCAAACAGTTACAAAAGTCCTCTTTATCCGACCTACCCCCACCAGAGGCTCATAGAAGTTAATCGAGGGACTTAATAGGGAGTCATATGCAACCCTTTATCAACTATCAATCTCTCCTTTATGGTATGAATAAAGAGTCAGGCAGAAAGTCAAAGAGACAGAGTCAGGCAGAAAGTCAGAGAGACAGACAGAAAAATCACACAGACAGAGACACAGACAGAAAGTCAGAGACAGACGGACAGAAAGTCAGACAAAAAATCAGAGCGACAGGCAGAAAGTCAGAGAGACAGACAGAGACAGGCAGAAAGTCAGAGAGACAGACAGAGACAGGCAGAAAGTCAGAGAGACAGACAGAAAAATCACACAGACAGACAGAGACACAGAGACAGTCAGGGAAAAAGTCAGAGACAGACGGACGGACAGAAAGTCAGACGAAAAATCAGAGCGACGGACAGAAAGTCAGACAGACAGACAGTCAGGCAGAAAGTCAGAGAGACAGACAGAAAAATCACACAGACAGACAGAGACACAGAGACAGTCAGGGAAAAAGTCAGAGACAGACGGACGGACAGAAAGTCAGACAAAAAAATCAGAGCGACAGACAGAAGGTCAAAGAGACAGACAGAGTCAGGCAGAAAGTCAGTTAGTGGAGAGAAAAGCAACAAAGAAATGCATTAAGGTTAGAATTCCAATGTTAACCGAAAGAAAAAGTGTCAATTCCTGCACACACATTATTAGCTCTGCAGTTGAATTGTTGAAGTAATGATGTTTTGGACACAAGGGCCTTTTTGAAGACAGACCCACCACAAATGACTCAGTGATGTACAGTCCTAATCTAAGAATTATCCACCATAGGCTGCCATTAGAAATGGCCCATAATCAGCCATGTCCCGAGGGACACAAGAGCCTACCTGCTGTCTCTGGAAACCACAGCAGGTCAACCGCTTCATTTATCCCCATTAATGAATAAGCTATCAAATGCATTCAAATCATTATTAGAGAATTGGTGATCTCAACAAGGTTAATTAAGCA